TTATACACCTCAGGCCATTATGTCTTGTCTATTTTTGACAAAATGTGTAGGCAAGATTTTAGGTTTTGTTTAAGTAGGCATCTATACATTGTCTTTTGTAGCCAGTTATACTTGTATTAATTACTAAAGTGCATCTATTTCAATTGGATATTTAAAAGTAAGCTGTAAATCTAGAAGAATACTATAGGGGAAAAGGAGCTGTGATCTGTATCAAACTGAGAAAGACAACACTAGGTAAAACTCTTTTGGCTACTTAGTGCTTTCTGACTTCTGAAAGGAAGCAAACTTTGCAGCATGTAATTAATTCTAAGAAAATTATAGGGAACAGAAGAGTAGAGCAGGGCTCTTCGTGAGGGAGAGGAGTCTGTTTTTGTCGCTTCAGTAATGTCTAACTTGATCATAACACTGTAGCACTGTGACTGAAATGTTCATTTCGGATGATCTTGTGCATTCAGCAAAGGCATACAGTAGTAAAATGTCTTCCACTAGCCAATAGTTCTTTATTAATTCAGGAGATATAAAACAAAGTTCAGATTAACATCATTTTCTAACTGGAAAGTAAGTGTACCTTGGATACCGAATACAAACATTTCAGCAGGTCCTGTTACCCATCAGCCTGATGTTAGCTTTTTATGTTAGTATGAAGGATCTTGACATTGTTGTGTGTTGACATCAATGGTGAGATACATATTGGTAACAAATGTAAACACATGGATTTACTAAGGAAATACAATGCTCAGGTTGAACTGTGTGGTTTTTACTGCATAAGTAAATAGACAGACCTGGATCATGAGGAGTGTTAGCATTTACCATTCAGAAAAAATCACTTGTTAGCCTGAGTTATAATCTCTCTGTGTTATAATCTCTCTGTGTACATTTAATCAGCTGTGCATTGACATAGGAATAATACAGCATTTTAAAAACATTTAATTTTTTTTAAGGCAAGCCCAACATGTTGACAGATGCTATTTAGTATGAAGTTCAAACAAACTTAACTAAAGGTTAGTTTATACCTTGTGAAAAGACAGGTGGTCTAGAATGTGTTGTGGAAATCCACATGCACAGTAAGATGCAAGGCATGATTTTGTTGTTGCTGAACTTTGGAATTCTAGTCGGACTTCTTGCATCATGTACAAATAACCAAAGGGGACGCAAAAGTGAAACCAGTCTGGTGGCTGCTGCCCGATTTGATGTTTGTTCCACTGATAATGTGCTTGTTTGGCTTGTTTTTCTCCTCTTCAAATGTTCTTTTTTCTTCTCCCTCCAGAAATATGATGAAATGGTGTTAAAACTGTCCGCACACATTCTCACTCTGGGAGTTCATGCAGAGGACACTCAGCCTGAGGCCCAGCAGCAGTCTAGCCGGGGTCGGCTCCCCCTCACCCCAGTGCCACCTCCCAGACCCTCCCCTGCACACCCTGGCTTTCTGGGCAGTTCTTGGTGAATAAGGTTTCTGTTTCTGGCCTCCATAGTCCAGGCTCTCCTGTTCCTGGCTGCAGGGCATTCACTCACCCCACTTTGTAGTGTCTTACTGCCTCTCTAGTAGGCAAAGCTGCTAGAAATCACTGTGTGAGTGTATTTACCTACCTACCGCTCATGTATCTATTTCCCATGACAGTGTATGTTTTTTGTTTTTTGTTTTTTAACATAAGGGACTCAGAGCCAGGCAGAACTTTGGGGGCTATTTAGCTCCGTAATTTATTTAGTTCTATATAATTATCTAATTATATATCTAACTCAATATTTAATTATATGTCTCACTTTCCAGACAAAAATTTTAAAACCTTCCAATATAAGCAAATAGAAAAATATTTAAGCTGGTTAAAAGGCTGTGAACATAATTCTTCATATCCAGGAATCAGTTTATTTAATGGGCTTAAATTTAAAGGATTTCTTTATTATTATTAATTTTTACATTCTCTTCACTACATAGGTAGATACTGGAAAAGTATCTTTTATTACATATAGTATATTTGGGTGTACTATGTGTAATTGTCCTAACTGAATATAATGCATACTCTGATAGTATTAACAGATTTTAAAATCTAAAATCCTCAATCTCAGCTGGCTCGGTAGCTCAGCCTGTAATCCCAGCGCTTTGGGAGGCTGAGGTGAGCAGATTGCCTGAGTCCGCGGGTTCGAGACCTGCCCGGGCAACTTGGCAAGACCTCATCTCTACAATAAACCAAAAATTAGCTGGGCATGGTAGCGCACAACTGTAGTTCCAGCTCCTTGGAAGGCTGAGGCGGAAGGATCGCCGGAGCCCAGCAGGTCGAGGCTGTGGTGGCCGGGAGCGACCACTGCACTCCAGTCTGGGCTACAGAGTGAGACTCCAACTCAAAAATAAATAAATAAAATAAAATCCTCAATCTCTAAACTCTGAGGGAAAAAAAAAAATGCTGTGCCGTGAACAGCTATGGAACAGCTTGGACAATAACCTTGCAGTGGGTTTGGATGTAAAAAGTTCTATGGCTTTTTCAGATTTATGATGATAAATGATCTTTAGTATAGCTCAGTTCTCTATACTCTTTGTTTGCCAGTAAGCTGGCAGATATTTTGGTCGTTTTTAAAAAGCACAACAATAGGCACATCTTCTGCCCTTACTTTATCAGCTAGAAGAAAATATTCATGGGGCATCCTGAGGAATGGTGATTCACTGGGGCTTTCTTCCCAAATTGGTAGCTGGGCAGCATGGAATGTCACAAGTGGTGCTTCCCACAAATTAAATGGATAAAGTATCTTATTTAGATACAAATGTAGGCTTTCACCTGTTGGAAGAAAATAAAACCATCACTAAGAGCTTTTTATTTCGTTGGCAGGTTCATGTCTACAACAAAGTGATTTTTTTCCCCCAGGTGAACTTCTCCCTCATGTTGGTTGTGGCAATGACTTTAATAAAGCTATTTACGAAAACTCCTTAAATGTGTGGTCCCCATTCCCACAGTGTGTCATTGCCGCCGCCAAGTGACAGGACTGAAAAATCAGCAAATCCTAAACAATTAAAGCTTCAATTCCTCTTTCTAAAACCAAGGCCCCTGCTACCTGCTAGACAAATATAATGTCTTCTTCTGTGAGGAGAAACAGAGACTCTCCCTTAAATCACACTGGACCCATGTGAGTGTCCCTCTGAATTCAAGGCTTCTGAGAAAAGAATGGCATGGGTGATTAAAAAGACAATTTCTTTCTCTGAACGAATACATCCAATTCTTGGGCTGAGAGAGGTTTTTTGTTTGTTTGTTTTTCAGCATGTTTGGATAGTTTTTCACAGTCTCACACAAAAATCATACCATACTACAGGAAAGAAATTCTCTGCCTTAAAAGTCCACCAGGCACACCCAAAACTTGTAACTCCAGGAACACACAAGTACTTGGGGTTATATGCAAAGACTGTTCTCTTTAGCAACCTCCTTCTTGAACGGGGCTAAGAGCTTTTCAATTGCTGTGACATTTTCAGCCAGGGAAGTAGTAGTTGTTGCAGAGCAATGTTTTACAGGCAATTACTTTATATGATCAATGGAGCAATTCCCCTTCCAGAAAGGAACCAAAGCGATCAAGTTAAATCATTAAAGAGAGAAAGAGAGAGAGGGAGAAAGGGTTCATCTCATTAGCAGGTGCCAGGGCTGCAGGCTCCGCGGCAGCACACAATGTCACTGGCCCTTTAAGACAATGACTGCGCTCCCTTCCCCACCGCCGCCCCCTCCCCTGGAGCTGTTGACAGGTCTAAACCTCCCGAGCAGCCCATTGTGGCCGCAGTAGGAGGCACCTGCAGAAAATGTGCCAAAACCAGGCAGGGAGCAAGAGCTTTTCAATAAGCTCCGCAGCTGGAGAGGAGAGGCAACACTAAACAACCAGGCTGGGCCCAGGCATGTGATGGGAAAAGGGGTCAAAACCAGACACCTCCTATCGGCTTTCTGAGCTCTGTTCGGTTCAATTTGCTGACATCTTCTAGCTGGCTTTTCTCTATTTGCTTAATATGCTGAGGTATTTAGCTTAAAAGCACTAAATGCTCCATCATGATGAGCAGTTTTCCCTTTGCCCATTTACTGCTATTAAGGACAGTTTCCAGTATTTTCACCCTCTTTCTGCCCCAAACTCAGGCTGTTTTTTTAAGCTTCTCTCTCATGACTAGTCACAGGCATTCTCCACCACACACAGCCTGCTTGGTTTTACACATCTCTGATTCAGGGATGCGTAAATCTCTCCAAATTTAGGGCATGTGCCGCCTTCATAAGTCACACACTCCGACTGTCTTAGGCACACATCTGGAAGCTGAATTCTTGCATTGCAACTCGGTAAATATTCATTGTGCATCTACTGTGTACCCACCACTGTTTGCAGGGCTTCTGGAAATCTAGAAGTGGGCAAGACGTGCTTGCCCTCTCGTGCTGCCCAGGATCCAGCAAAGGAGCTAAATAGCTCACCTAACTGTGGGCTTTAGGAATTTGTTTTGCACTCTTGCACTTGTCTTTGTAGTATTTACAGCCTTTTTGAGAATAAGCAGGAATGGAGGGAGAGGGCAAGGAGGGCCCTGGGATGTGCTGCTGGTGTGGTGGCTTTGTCCCGCATGCCTTGGGAAATGAGGGCACATTCTCAAGGTCATCCCTCCAAGGCAAATGAGAGAGAGAACCTGGCCTTGTTCCTCAATTTTGGCAGCTCTTGTCTGTCCATGACTCCTTACGTTTATACAACACTTTTCAGCTTGCATGATTTTCCACTTCTTTTTTCCTCACTTGACATAGTAAGGCATTATCTCCATCTTGCAGATGAAAACATCTGAGACTCAGGGCTAAGCACCTTGCCCAAGGCCCCACAACAAGTAGGTGGTGAGTGCAGAGGCCTGCCAGGGATCTGGCTCATCCGTGTCCCCCAAAACCTTTGCTTCCTTTCTACTGGGTGCTGCCTCTTCAAACTGTCAGCCAGCACCTACACACGACTTAAGAGCAATGGGGACGCACACTAAGTGACATTTTCACAGTAAAACTCTTTTCCCCCTCCTACAGATGGAGAGTGTTGGTGTGTACGGATTCTGTGGGTGTAAAGCAAAGAGCAAAATGAAGTGTGACTCAAGGTGGGAAATAGCCGCTTCAGGTAGGATACGAATAATGTGCGTAAGTATCGAATTGGTATCTGAAATAATTCCCTCTAGAACTTCATTCCTTTCAAGAGGGACCAGGTACATTTAAAACCGGGACATGTTAGCATCTGCACACGTAAGATATTTGCCAAACCGCTACTGCGAAATCAACTTGTGGGACAAGGTTTGAAGTATTTCAGAGGCACCCTTGAGTCAGGAAACAAAATCGTTTCCCACCCACCCAAAGCCTGGAGTCGTCACTGCAAGTACCGATTGTGGAGTGGGATTCAGCGTCAGTCACGCTGTCTTCCTGCCCTGCTCTGGTGGCCCTGAGAGATTGTCTCTGTTTGCGCCCATACAAAAGCAGGAAGAGTTGGTCTCTCGTTCTTCTAAGCTTGTTTTTGCTTTAACATGTCTCTCCTCTCAGAGGACTGGTCCTCTTCCTCCTCCTTCCTTAGTGCCTCCCTCCAATTCTGGAGAAAACAAGTGGACTATTCATGTAAAAAGAGAAAGAGTGAGAAAGGGAGGGGGAGATGCCACCGACAAACTCCATTGAAAGCCACTGGCTGTTCATTTACATTCACACTTTTAAAAAATGTTAACTAATGATGTTAAATGGTTTGCCAAAGGTCCTGGCAGGTCAGTTGTAGAAGTGTCATTTCTGCCTAATTAGGGCTCTTGTGGCTGCCCAGGGCCTCCCAGTGCAACTGGTGACAAGCCAAGAGCTGACAGCTTCAATTGGTGCCAATAGGAAGGTTGGGCTGGTCATGTTTTCCAACTCAGCCAGGTGTTTGCAGAGTGGGGGAGGGGCTAGGCGAGATCTGAGCGCTTGTATGATCCTTTTTCTTTCACTACTCCCTCCCAGTCCTTCCCTTTTGCCTGTCTTGTCTTGTGTCAAGGTCAAGAATGGGCTCTGCTAAATCAGCAATTTGGGTTATCTCTGGGAGGTCATTAGAATCCCCAACCCAGACATTTCAAGTGGTCTCAGACCCCAGATGCTAGATTTTTTTCCTCCTTAAAACTCAGTAGGAAAAGAAAGAAAATGCTTTAGATGAAAAACAATTGTAGGAAGAAAAACAAACAAACAAAACTCCAGAAAACTCTGCATAACCATCAAAGTGTTAAACTTCTGAAGACATTCATAATAATAAAATTGCTTAAAGAAAAAACAGTGAAAGCACTCTGGTCAGTGCTTTAAATATTTGAAAGAAGAAAAGCCAGTAATGAAAAGAAGTCCTGTAATATTCAGTGGGATATATTATACCTGCCACATAGTAGGTGCTCAATAAATAATTTATTGTTGATTTCACTTTTCAGGAGAAAAATTATTATCTGAGAAACAAAGAGTGATTGATAGACACTCTGCTCTTTTTCATACTTGCTTGAACTGTTTCTGTAATGTTCTTTGAATTTCTCAGTTGACCATAAAGTATTTCCTAAATTGGAGTCCCACATCATGGGTTGATATGATTATCTTGTTTTTTGTTTTGTTTTGTTTTTGACAACTTAAAACAAGCAAAATGCCACTGTTTTCAGCATCCCCTGGCTGCAACAACTACCACACAAAGAGGCAGTCCCATGGCAATGACAGGACATCTGTGTTCAGAATTTGGATTTAACTAACTGGCAGATTCCGCGGGGATGGCGGCACTCCCTGGTTGTGCCTGAATTGAACACACCAACACTTGAGCACACACAATCACATGTGCACGGACGTGCATGTTAGCGGATCTGTGAGACAAGGAATGGCAAGATTAACACATGGGCATGTGGGAGCAATGCTGTGTTAAACTAAAGGGAACTGGGAAAAGCAATGTTTGCTTTATGAAAATCTAAGGCCAGATCTAAAGGCTACAGTTTTGGAAACAAGGGCATGTCTAAAATGAAGGGCATTTGAAACTTTGGTTCTTCAGCTTCCTGTCCTCGTTTATTAACCAGCTTCCCACCTACTGCCTCTGTTTTCTCTAATATGGGACAGAGAAAATTGGGGCCAGAAAAAGAGATTGTTCCTGCCTGTTGATTTTATCAAAGGAGCATTATGAAGATTAAATGAGACAGCATATATAGGCACACCTTGGACAATACCTGGCTTATATCAAGTGCCTGATAACGGTGCATTCTCTCCCTGCTGTCGTGGGTTCTTCATGGTTGAAGACCATGTGCCGTTGTGTGGCATCAAGTTATTTTCTCAGTCTAATAGCAGGTGAGCTACTGAGTGAATACAGAGGCTGAAGACTGTTCAGCTTTGAATCTTCCACACTTGGCATGGAAGGAACCCAGGATATATTTGAACAAAGAGAATTAATAGAATTGACTAATAGAATGACCTCCTGAATGATGAGTGAACACACTGATCTAGACATATTCAAACAGTTTAGTTGACTGTCTCAAATTTGCTCCCTCAGGGGTCTCTTCTGTCACTGACTTCCCTTTAAAAGGCCCACTTTGCATTTTTGTGGCCCACTCTCATTTTTTGTCTCTTTGAGGCCACATTCTTGTTCCCCTTCGTTGGTGACCTTCTTTGTCTTTCCTGCTGCTCCTATAGACTGTTGTTTACTCACACTGCTTCTGTTCTGGGCTCTCATTTCTCTTCTAGTTCCAGTTCTAGCCCCTGTCTTGGCTCTGCCTCCCATACCCACTTCTGTCTCCATCCTGGATTGCAAAGCCGCAGTTGCTGCCTGTGAATTTTGAGGGTAAACGATTATGTGGCTCTTCCATGTGCTTAAAAGTGACTTCTTAATATTCTCCTTGTGGTTAGGATGATGAGTGTGTGAAAATTATTCTGGAAGAAATTGGTGGTGAAGAAAACCTTCCTCAGCAACTAAACCAATGTGGAAAAATAAGCCGATTAGTTACTAAAACTAAAACAAACAAAATCCTTTTGACCACTTATGAACAGAGGAAAGAACATATAACTTACAAGTTCTCTGTTTGTGGCATGAATACCCTTCGGTGGTGTTCGTGATGGCCAATCGTCATGATGGCGACCATGGAAAAGTGGAATGATGTTCAGTCAGATGTTACCGAAACCTTCTAAAAGGCAAATCTGATTTTGTTATTCCATCATTTTGGCAGCCCTTCCAGATCTGGTTCTGGCTTCTCTTTGCCCTTGAACCCTTATTCTGATTGTGCTGACCTGCTGGGCACAGGAACTTTGAACAAACTCTCTTATTCTTGGAATGAATGCCTTTTCTCCCTTCTTTCTCCTGACAAACGCCTGCTATTGAGAAAGATTCAGCTCCATTCTCCTCCTCCACAAAGCCTGTCCTGACACCTTCCAAGTTAGATAGACCTTTTTCTCTCTTGTGTCCCTCTATGGACGCAATCTTAGGTTCTTCTCAACAATAATACTAATGATAGCAGTAATCATGATGGTTCCCTTTTATCAGGTGGCTCCTTGGTGCCAGTAAGTGTAAGTGCTTTCGGTTGCCATATCACTTGAGGCTCACCTCCCAATGAAACAGTCATGCATTGTTTAATGACAGAGAAATGCATTGTTAGGTGACTTCATCATTGCGCAAGCATTATAGCATGTATTTACACAAATCTTGGTGGAGTAGCCTACTACACACCTAGGCCATATGATAGTTTACTGCTCCTAGGCTACACACCTGGACAGCATGTTACTGTACTGAATACCTCAGGCAACTGGCGTATACTGGAGAGAATTTGTATATCTAAACATAGAAGAGGTATAGGAAGAAATTTATGGTAATATGATCTTATGAGACCACTGTCATATATACTGTCTGTCATTGACCAAAATGTCATTTTGTTATATGGTACATGCCTGTATTTATTTTATAGATGAGGACTCAGCAGCTCAAGTGACATGTTTGACATCACATGGCTTCAAAGTAGTGGAGCTGGGACCTGACTCAGCCAGCATGACTCACACATTATTAACCACCCTCAATATTGCACACATTATATATAGCACATGTTACTTACTACCCTCGTTACAGAAGCTCCATGTCATGCTGCCTCCTATTCTAAATACCCACTGTGCTGACAAATAGGAGGATTTTGATTTTCAGTTTATCTCCGCTGGATGGTGAGTTCCTTGATATTGGAGATACTTGTGTACACTCATACAACTTTGTTCCAGTTGGGCTGGCACATGGCAGAGACTAAATGTTGATTGACTGTAATAAAATGTAACTGAGTTGTACTTTATGTGTATGTACAGATGCATACATTCTCTCTCTACCTCTCTTGCTCTTTACATATATGTGTGCATATGGATACATATATGCATATTTCATATACACATATATGATGTGTATATGTGTATATGTATATACGTGCATATACACAAGTATATTTATGTATATATAGTATGTGCACATACATTATCATGATAAGTATCTATATATAGATATATAAATTAACATATACGTTATCTATAACTAGAAAGAAAGCAAGAGAGGCAGGCAGAGAAAATCAGTTGCAGTCTGGAAGAACAAACGTGTCATATGGTGTCTTTGACTTTGAATTCCCCATTAATCTAGTTTCCTTGAAGTGTGGATGAAGCAGCATGTTCTACGTGTTCCTAAAGACAGACCTCTAAGATCTCCAAGCCCTGCCATGGTACGTTTAAGTTAAGACAATACTGGCTAGAATAGCATTCTTGAGCTTTCTCTCTGCACAGTTTCAGGTATAGAGATGACATGCTTTGTTCAAGCATTATTCCTCATCACTCTGGAGCCTGAGCTTATTAATGGTGGTAAACAAGGGGCTTCATTTCCTGTCAGGGGTACCCACCATGCCCTCCTGCAATGTGCTGTGCAGTATATTTGGGGCAAGACTGACTAATGACCCAGTGCCAAGAGCAGCCTTAGACAAACCCAAAGGCTTTGCTAGATCTCAGAGACAACCACAAAAGCAGGAGAGTTGGGTGAAGGTTCAGCAATAGCCAATTGGAGGACAGCAAACCCTCACATCCACTCTTTGGATTCTGTTTTTATTGCTTGTAGAGGGAAAACGTTCATAAGATCAGGTACCTATTTAACAT